AGCCACATTTGACTTAATTGTTTTACCATCTCCATGTGAGTGGGCTTTTCTCCGGTATGAGACAGCATTGATCATATCCCACTCGGTTTCGTAGCTCAGCTGATGGTCGAGAGGACGATGAGGGTTGTCTTCTGAACTCTGAGTCCATTCCACCACTGAGCTGGAGTCCTTCACACAATCAAACATTCAAGTTATCCTTCCTAACTCAGAAAACTATTCAGAATCTTGAATATACTAGTATAGATTACATAACAAAAGTCTGAGGCATTTTAACATATATATGCAAACTCTCACAGATGAAACGGGTGACAAACCTTGCAGGCACACAGTATGTTTGAGGGATCTGTATCCTCCAGGGGTTTATATTCCACAAGGGTTTCACCATCCTACAGTTAAAGAGAGATTGTTAGATGGCTGTCATTTTTTACAGACATTTCAAAAGCAGGTACTTCTCAGATATATCATTGAAATGTATGAAATACAATGTTGTTCGAAAGAAATTCATATTTTTATTCTGCAAGGATTCACTAAATTAAACAAAAGTGACAGTTATGTATAAAGTTATAAAATATTTCTATTTTTAAATAAATGCTGTTCTTTTGAACTTCACATTTCAAAAAAATCCTGTATCACGTTCCCCCCCCCCCCCCAAACAGTGTTCAAAATCAAATCAGCATATTAGATGGAATGGAATGTGGATGTATAACATCTATATGTATATAACATTAATGTATGGAATATGTATAACATAAATGTATGGAATGTGGTATAACATCTTATGTATGTCACGTGGACCCAGTTCAGGTAAAACTTAAAGGAATCATAACAATCCTGAAAAACACACTCGTTTAATAAATAATATTATCACTGACAACCACCATACCTTATCAACAATCCTGAGGAACCCCGATATTAAATCCTGATCCTCAGATTCATCTTGAGATGAGTGAATGAAGACTCCCTCATGTTCAAACACCACCTACAAACACAAAGAAACATGCATTGGCAAAACGTTACAGCCAAACACATTCTCTTTAAAAATAGGCCATTAAAAACTAAAATTTCAGTACTCTACTCCGTGCCTTTAAATGTCTAAGCCTGAGGCCTGAACTGACAGCTCCTGACAAACTGACATCAACAATGTTCTTGAAGACTCCCCAACAAAAAAATGCCATTGATCATTGTAAAAATAAAAAATGACACTGGGAAAACAACCATGGAATAACCTGGAACTATGTGCAATGTTCATGTCTCCTATATTATCATCTTAAATTTGTGTGATAGTGGTATGTAGCTGTAAGAATATATATATATATATATTGCCACTCAATCAGCAAAACATCATGGTGGCCAAGGTATTTGATGATGATTGTGTAACAAACACGAGAAAACGATACAGACGAGAATGAGATTATGTAGTGCCAATAAATTCATATATAAAGATAGTTAGAAAAAAAAAAAAACATTCATAAGATAGTTAGTTTCCTTATGGCCTGAATTCACCGGACTCAGTAGATAAACAACCAGTCATCAAGCTCAAAACATCTTCATAAACCTGCCAGACAGGCAGCTCATGACTCAAAACGAGTTAAAGTACAAACACAACTCTGATTATTTGTTTTTAGAGTCCAGACGCCCCGAATAGGTTCGTTATTGCAGTTGTGCTGCTATTGGCAACGGAAACGCTACTTCTAACGTCCGTGTTTTTAGCAGTTTGATCAGCTGTATGTCAGTGGGTTTGGCAGCTAGCAGCCAGGCTAACTGTTGCTAAACACAGCAGTTTCCCAGACCAGTGTATCATCTATTTCCCAGCACCGACAGTTCAAAAAGCAGGTCAAACAGAATATCTACACCACAACCCACGGAAAAACATCGGTAAAATGGAGCTATTTGTCTTTTTGACCGTGTATTGACTTATAAAGCAGCATGCTCAGTACCTTGGGAGGAGTTGTGGCCGCCATGTCGACTGCTAAATAGAAGACGTAGCACCGCTCACGTGCCTGTCAGCGATCCACAACAACACTGACGAGTCATTTTCCGCATGGCCAACGCCGCGCATGCGCACGGACATATTTTTTGATGAATTTTCAGTTTACAAGCATCTACTACATCTTTTAATAATAATAATAATAATAATAATAATCCTTAAATCGGTGGAAAACAATCTACTATTGGGTGCGATTGACATGTATTTTACTTTATGTAGGTGGTTATCCAAATATAGAGTAGCAGCAAAATTATAATGATTTCTGAAAAGTTTAAATGTAATTATATTTCACAATATTACTTTTTTTTTTACTGTGTTTTTGATCAAATAAATGCAGCCTAGATAAGTATCTTCTTTTTAAAAATACACTACTAAAAACAAATTATCCCAAGCTTTATGAAATGTACTAAAAAATAGAGTAATTTTAATGTTCTTTTAATGTTATCCAAATAGAGTAATTTTAATGTTCTTTTCATATGTATAAAAAGAAAGAAAGAAAGAAAGAAAGAAAGAAAGAAAGAAAGAAAGAAAGAAAGAAAGAAAGAAAGAAAGAAAGAAAGAAAGAAAGAAAGAAAGAAAGAAAGAAAGAAAGAAAGAAAGAAAGAAAGAAAGAAATGCACACGAAGCTCGATTGCCCTCTAGCGGTTTACACAGTGGGACTTTTATTTTGAAATGAAATGTCTTCCAACTGGCGGGAAACTTCTGTGTCAAATCAATCTATGGTGTCAGTGGACAACAACTACGGACCTGACAAGTGAGTGTACTAACGTATGTGACGTTAGTATATATTTGTGAATACATGTAGACACTCGTAACATTTGACTTGTTCTGACAACGTTTCAGATGAGAAGGTCTACAAAACAGGAAGAATTGTGTGATTTGTGAATTCTGACACCGAGGAATCAGATACAGAATGGTTCAAATAGTCATTTCAAGGTAGGTGTGAAATACAAGTTATTACAGATCATGAATGATCTAAAAGTGCTCGTTAAAAATGCTTTTCGATGTGTTCTGCAGTAATGCTGCTGAAGGTCCAGCCGAATGGCTGCTGGTGGAGCTGCAGGGAGAAATGATGTCCAGACAAAATACTGGACTAGCAGGAAATCTGATGGGGGACCTGCACTACACTAAGGAGGTTTGTCTTTCTCTAATAGCTGGGCAGATCAAAACAAAAATCAAAAGAAAAAAAGAATATAGATACAAACATATTTTATATGTATGTGTATAATATAAGTATGTATCTATATTATTTTTTCTTTTGATTTTGGTCTGAAATGTGCCCAATTATATGTGTGTATATGTATGTCTGTGTGTGTGTGTGTGTGTGTGTGTGTGTGTGTGTGTGTATATATATATATAATTCATACAAAATTATAAAACTACTTTTTACCTATATCAATTCTTGATTTGTCCACTATTCAAGGGATTACCAGTCCTTATAGTTGGACATCACATCCTCTATGGAAAACAGGTCAAACTGGAGAAGCCCTTTGCTGTTCTGATGAAACACTCTGGACTTCCTCGGAATACAAAAGAAACTATGGAAACTAACCAAGAGAAACCAACATCTTACACCGTATCTGCCCTCATCAAAAAGAAGCTTATCTTTAAAACTCGACCTAAACCTATCATCACTAATGTGCCGAAGAAAGTATAACTTATGTCCAGATATCAGAGACTTAACTGATTAGCACAATATTCTAGATTTGTAACCATATGTTGTTTGGAATGGTGGATTAGTATTTTAGTGCATTTATTGTTAACATACATTGTTGTATTTTTTTATACATCTTTATGACTAATAAAGAACAAATATAAATATTTTAAGTATGAAATGTAAGTATTGAATTGAATTGAATTGTTTATTGATCCAACAATCAGCTATCTCATATTCATATGAGTGCTGTTCTTCCTGTGGTCAAAAATCACTATTACATATAATTTTTTTTACAAATTAAACATACATACAACAAACTGACCATAAACCATACAACAAACATCCATAAACAAAAACATTGAGTAGAAGATGAACTAAAAAAATATTCCTTAATTTAAGTTGGTTAAATTTAAATCAACATCATGAACTAAGAGTAATTTACTTTAAGAGTAAGTAATAGATCTTAATTTGAAAATGAAAAAAAAAAAAAAGAATGCTCCAAAAATGCTCACTTTTGAATTGAAGTTTATTGTATCAAAACATCAGTTACAAGTGTTTGCAAAAATAATTGTGAGGGAAATGTCGAAATGTAAAGAATCCCTTTGTACATACAGGAGTAGGGCAATGTATACATAATGCATAAAACAAATATGTCAAATTCACATGAGGTTAAAAGACCATGCAGGTCCACTGTAGAAGTACAGGTTAGCTGTGAGATTTAGACTTAATGCTGCTGTTTCATCAACACATGATTTAATTCTGAGTAGGAGACAAAAGCTGCCAGTGGCAATCTGTAAAACAACTGCATTTTGGTTAAAAACATGTAACCTCTACCATTATGGAGTATGAATACTGTAATTTATAAATCCCTAATCTGTACAGCGTTATTAAAATAACATTTTACTTAAAATAAAGTTTCCTAGGAAAATGCAGATACACTGATAAGTGTGAGAAATAATTCTTGCATGTTTAAAATATCTTAGAATTTTAATTTACAAAAATATATATTACTTTACAATATTGAAATGACTGACATAATCCTAGTTTTCACTGGTTAAGCTTCACCATCTACAAATGAATGCACTGTCTGGCAGACAGCAGAGCAAGAACTTTTTTCACTGAATATTGTGTAAACCCAATTTGTATTTTTTTTTTTTTTTACATACAATTTTAAGCCCCTCAATCAGGGATTTCTTTTCCTGAAGACGGAGCATATCAAATATTACAAGTTTGACACCCAGTTTACAAATGAATAGCATAAAATCTTAAAATACACAAATGTGAACAATGAGAACGCAAGTTTGATTGTAAACAAATGATAAGTTTCATAATTGCATTGTGTCATCAGAGTCATAATGCTGCAGTCCACAGCAGTATCGCACATGTAGTGCACAAGTCAAGTGGGTAAATATTTCTAAACTTGTCCATGCACACATTTGAACACTAGCCTCTGTGTTTATTTCTGCCAGAGTTTAATGTGTGTTTTGGGGGAAGGGAGCAGAAAAAGTTAGCGTTAGCATTCACGGAGAATGCTAAATCTGCTAATTGTTGCATTAGGATGGCTGAGGCTGGGGAAAAAAGCTGGAATGAAAATCCACTGTGTATAATTTGCTCCATATAAAGTAATCTTTAAACACACAAATTTGCATAGCATAAATAAGCTACTTCAGTTCGTGTGATTCACGTTTATTTATTTTGATAACCGACCATTTTATTTAAATTAATAGGAATGATAGGAACAATAAGTTTAAAAATTACAGAAAAGGTTTTTTGTCAGGATCACCAGATTCCAATATTTAAGTATTTTTCATAAATAATCATTTTTGATCTATAATAAAAGTAAAATATGACCTTTTATTATATACTTATACCAAGTTGGAGAATACTGGGTAAAAATAGGAATCCAAGTAAAACTTTGCAAATTATCCTCCTCGAACAGAACATTGTAGATGCTAGAGAAAATCCTTTTTGGTTGCCTGACACTATTTATTCACTGGTACTGGATGTAACTTTTAAAATTTTGTAAACATGTAGCCTGCAGTGAAGTAAATCATTGTGGAGTAACAGAAATCTCTCATTTAAATGCTGTTTGCTCTTGTTCTATCATGTTACACCACAAAAGTATCAGAAGCACCACAATTTCAAATGATGAAATATAGAATTATGCTGGATTGTCAGATTAGAGACATTAAAATACTGACTGTATTTGGCAAGTAAAACCAGGTTAGTGTCTTATGCAAGTTTCTTTAAATTTTGGCACACACCTCTCTAACCTTAACAGCACATATTCTGTATAATTATCAAAAGTTCAAGCACCAGTTATAACCCTTTAACTTCATATGTCATCTTAACTATATTAACTTATCACTCTTACACTAACCTTTGGCTTTACTTGTTGTGCCCGCCTTGGCTGGCGCCTCCTCCATGTGTGCTTTATAATCACGAGGAGCACAATTCCTGATTTTAACTCACGTAAATCATAGCTTTCTCAAAATTTAATGATTTTGTCCAAAAGCTCTCATGTAGCCGTAGCGAACATAGTTAAGTCTTGGACCTGCACATGATCCATAACTATATCCAGGATTGCAGCACCAGGTAAAGACAGGTCCATGTCAAATGAGCTCTTACAGCATGTATTGATCTTTTAGAAAGACTATGCTTCGGCATAGGATAGGTGGTATTGTTCCTCTCTTTTGTTACAACGCTTGGCCACTATGGCCAGGTAGAGCACCAGAAGTATGAGCCAGTAACAGGCATAGAGGATGGTGCCTGCAATGAGAAGAGCCTTCTCAGTCTCACTGAAGGGTTCTTGCACCTCGCAGTAAATGGTATAAACCACGCCACCGAGCAGTATGGCCACCCACGTGGTCACAGGCACAGCTCCAATAAGGTTTACCACTATCTTTTTCCTGCCTGATGTGCCCCAACCTGCTTTGTTAATAGTCAACAGGGCAAAGATCTTGGCAGGCAGCAAGCTTGACATGTAGAGTAGTGAGTACAGGGACATGAAGATCATAACAAGGCTGCCCCGTAGGAAGCAGGCATAGGTGGCCTTCACCATGCCCACCAGCTGGACCGTCAGCAAGAAAAGCAAGATGTTCCACAACCGACCTCGGTAGAACAGATGGATGACTGTAGCCACCAGAAAGAAGGGGAAGAACCCAGTGACCACAGATTCGTAGGTCATCCAGAGGCTGTGCTTGTGGAACCAAAGCGCATTGTAGAGCCACTCTCGAAAGTAAGACTTGCTCCAGCGGGTCTGCTGGTTGAGCCAGCGCAGGTATTGCGTGGGGGTCTCGGTCTGGCATTGCGAGCGTGCCGTGAACTTGGTTTTGTAGCCGAAGCTGAGGACGCGGTTGGTGAGGTGCCGGTCATCACCGAAGCTGCACTTGCTTCCTAGAAAGGTCTGGTGGTACCAGGGCTCCAGGAACTGTTGGAGGAGAGAGTTGCGGTACATTCCCAGAGGTCCACTGATGCACTGCACACATCCAAAGTAAGACTGGCAGGCCCGCTCTATGTTGAACGCCATCCAATACCGGACACTGCTCAGGAAGGAGATCCAGGAGTCGTACTTGTTCAGAATCTGAAAAAGACAAGGAAACAACTCTCCGTGTGTAATCTTTAAAGACGAAAGGTACAGGAAAACTAAAAACATTTCTCACCTGAACATCTCCTCCCACCCCACCCACTTGTGGATCCTCCTCTAGAACCTTCAGCATCTCAATGGTGCAGGCTGGATCAAGTACAGTGTCAGAATCACATACCTGCAAAACCAAGAGATGCATACGATTTAGAACGCTCTTCTGCAACTTTAACTCGTGCAACTCTTTTCAGTCATTGAGGCTGATGTTGACAATGACTGTGTGAACAAAGCAAGGACTGTTGCAACCATAGACATTGGCTCACAGATGTTTCAAGGTCATCTTGGTTTCTGAAGGTATCAATCATGTGCCGAAACAATGAAAAGTTGATGACAGCGCACAGGTGTGCTCAGGACTACAGGGGAAGGTAAGTAATACGACTGACCTTTGACCTCAATGCTGCATGGATTCATATTACAGTGACATTGAGGGAACTATGGGGTTATGGCAGACTGTGAAGAGTGAAAGTATTGTAGGCTCATTGTAGGTTTTTCAAAATAGAAATTTGGCCATCCAAGAGCAACTTGGAGGAATAAATGCTTTTTACTCCTATAAAATTCCAGTACCTTTTCCATTTTATTGAATTTTTAGGTTGTAAAAGGCGTCTAGACTTACTTGTATGTAATCCACAGTATCTCCCAGTGCTTTGAAGGCTGTGTACATCACCTCTCTCTTGCCACCCCACTCCTGCATGATGCAGGAGTAATGGCAGCTCCGCACCACCCTGGCCACATGTGCAGCTTCCTCGGCATGCAATGAGCCTTTCCCTCCTCCCCCATCCCCGTCGCTGTGGTAATTCCCCTTCCACACCACACAACCCGTCTGCTCCACTCCCCCCATCACCTCCTGGAAGATGTCCATCATGTAGGAATCCTCCTGACGATTCCCATCCACCACCAGCACCACTTTAAGCCCCGGAAAAGAAATGCGACGAATGCTCCGCAGACACTTGCGAAGGTAGTCCGGATCTTCCTGATAGGCTGCGATGCAGAGGGCCACGGTGTGACGCAGGTGCTGAGGTCTGGAGGGGCCACGCATCTGTCGGTGCTCCAGATAGGCGAAGAGGCTCTGCAGGAGGAGGTGGAGGGACAGAAAGGCACCGTACAGGCCAAAAGACAGGTGGTGCTGCTCCGTGTGGATGAACTGGTAGCCTGTCACATAGGCTAGTAGGATAGCAAAAAGCACCACTGCTGCGAATAGGGTGGTGATGAAGATCCGCACCGCAGTGCCAAATCGAGAGGGCATCTGAAGAGGGAGAAAAAGGGATATTATAACTAAGGGTAGTGAGAAACATTTTGAAAAAGCACAAATCCAAATATATAAAATATAAAATATCAATGTTATATATTATTATCAAATTTGATTTGAATTTAAATTAAAGGGATAGTTCACTTTGAAATTAATTTTTGATGTTTTAGCTTACCTCAAGGGCATCCAAGAAGTAGGTGTCTTTGTTTCCCCAGTATTTTCAATTTTGATATTTTTAGGTCAAACCGTTCTTGTCTGTCAGTCATATAATGAAGATTTATGGGGTCCACCCTACCTCAAAGAGCATGCACAGAGAAGTCCGAATTAAACATGATTTAATGACTCATAAATGGAAGTACACATTGATGGCCTAAGACACGAAACGAGCAGTTTGTGTGAGAAAACGAACAGTATTTATATCGTTTTTACCACTTGTAACCACAACCATGTCCAAGTGATCTGAAGGCACGGGCACTTGCCCGTCCAAGTGATCTCTTGCGCGGTTGCGAAAAAACAACAACAACCCATTGTCTGTTGATATATCTAAATCGTCTTCCATTGCAATTTCCTGTATATCTAAATATGTTTAGATCTTCACAGTGAAGGATAACACTTCTGAAATCACTGTGTAAACAATGAGTGACGAACACGCGCGAGAGATTACTTCTGGGACTTTTCGGCGCACTTGCGCAGATAGAAGCACCTTCGCCCTGAGTGTACTTGGACGTGACTGTGATTACAAGAGGTAAAAACGATATAACTACTGTTTGTTTTCTCACACAAACCGCTCGTTTCGTGTCTTAGGCCACCAATGTGTACTTACATTTATGAGTCATTAAATCATGTTTAATTTGGACTTCTCTGTGCAAGCTCTTTGAGGTGAACCCAGGGTGGACCCCATAAATCTCCATCATATGACTGACAGACAAGAACGGTTTGACCTAAAAATATCAAAATACTGTGGAAACAAAGACACCTACATCTTGGATGCCCTTGAGGTAAGCTAAAACATATCAAAAGTTAATTTCAAAGTGAACAATCCCTTTAAATAGTATCTCAGGAATATTCCACCCAAAAAAGCAAAAGAAAAAAAGAAATAGGAAATAACAGAAAAATGCAAAAATAAAAATCTTTAAAGGCTTTGTGAGATTACCACATGAACAGAAGGGTCAACAATTTTGAATTTATTCCAAACAAATGGCAACAACTGACATTGTGACAATTTTTGTGAAACTCTCTCTCAGTCACTCTCTCTTTGTCTTTCTCACTTTTTTCTCATTCTTTCAGGTTAATGACTTTAATTAAAGGCTAGGCCGAGTTTGGCAGGTAATCAGTGGTTCCAGACTAAGGAACAATCCCCCCCTTTCATTCATTCACTTGCCTCCTGCTCCCCCTCTCATGAAAGAAAGAGCTGCTTCACTCAGTGCCCTTATATCATAACCGCCAACGCAATGAAGAAGAGTGGCAGAAATAACGCCGACTTCCACTGAAGTGGTTGTTGATTTTTCTATCACAGTAACTGACTGTTCCCACAGTTATTTACAGCTGCATCAGACCGGTACTTAACCGTTTTTACATCATAAAATTCCAAGAAACACATAACTGTTCCTTTCATATTAGCAATTTTGGTTTCACGTTGGTTAATTGTATCTGAAGTGAGAACTGCCATAAAACCTAAATATTGTTTATGATCTATATAATGGGTTTCTCCCTTTCTGCGTTATCCTACACACCTTCTTGTGATGTGAACAAAGACAACATAGACCCTGAGGGTGAGATAGAGACAGCAGGCAGATACTGAGTGTTATGTTTGACCATAATTAGAGGGCATCTTCCTCCGGAGGCTTGTTAGCTCAAAGGGACGGGTATGAAGAAGGGCCCCATGTCATACTCAACAAGACACCAGCCGTCACTCAGTCCCTGAACACAGCAAACAAACCCACTACCATACGTGTGATGAAAGCTGTACATTTTCACATGGCAGCCTTTGATTAAGGTAAGATAAAGTCAACTCAAGATGCACATCCAAGAATCATCACACAAGGCGATCTGTAACACATTTGACCTTCAAATTAACCATTTAGGACAATAAAACATCACAATGTTTATAGCTGCATGCTGCATAGCATTCTATGTAACCCCTGGATGTCAGTATCAAACCTAATGATGGAGGTTGAGTAATATTTCAACTTTCCACCAAATAAAGAGGTCAGAGGTCAATGGTTACTCACTGTTGTCATGGTGAGATATTCACAGCCCGGGTGGAGATCAATCCATGAGAGCTCGATAATCTCAGATCCTTATTTTGCTTTTAATAATTCTATTCCAGACTCTTCCCAGTGATTAACAGAGAAGTTTCAGGACGTCGTTCTCAGGTCTGTTTCTCTTGTGAGTGATGGTAAGGATGATCATGGGTAATCATGCATTCTCAGCCCAGAAGCAGGTGGTCTCAGATGAAACAGAAGTGGACAGGATCCAAAAGATGAAGTCTGTATGAAGTCACAGGTGCATTGCGGGTTGGTAGGGGGGTAACCGGCTAAAGCCTCTCTTGCCCCGTGTATTCTCAGGTGTGAACCAGATAGAATGAGGACGTTGGATGCAAGACAGGACACTGACAAAGGGAGGAAGTGGGAGAGGAATGAAGGGGGGCTGGGAATCACCAGGACCGATGAGGGAGGGCAGCAGGTGAGAGGATGTGAGATGAATGGCTGGAAGGCAGAGCATGTGTTTGGGTGAATTATTGTACCAGTACACTATACTAATATTCATTATAATTGATCAACTGAAGTAATGATCAATCGAGACTCAGATATAAATCACTTTTATATTTTATTATCCACAATTTCCACACTGTAAAAAAATATTTTCAAGATTTGTTATCACAACATTTTTTTTCTTTTGTCAAATCAACTTAAATAATTCATTTAGTTCAGATAACTTATTATTTTGAGTTTCTGATGATTAAATCAATCTCCTTCATTGTATTAACTCACTTATTCCAGTTCAATCAACTTAAAATTTTAAGGCAACCAGGTTACTTACTTTTTTAAGTTAAACCAACAATATTTTTTTACAGTGCACAGTCATGATGAGATTGGTGTCACAGATATTCAACTTAAAGTCCTGGTTTGTTATAGACTCAATTTCTTTGTGTTGTTTAATGGGCAAATGACGTGAAAATACATAAAAAAAATGAAATGCTTTCATTGAGAATAGAATAGAATAAAATAATATTTAAAAAAAATGCTAATAGTCTTGGAAACAATATTGAAAAATATTTTTGTTTTTACAATCTAATAAAATATTTTATTTGAAAATATGATTAATATTTTATATAAAAAAAATATTTTATATTGATGTTTAAGAAATTGTATCTCTTTTTTTGTGAATTTGTAAATGAAAAAATACTAGGGGGCACCTACTATGAATTCATCCTCTCATCCAATTTCCGAAACGTATTCCCAAAAATCAGGTATTTCTTATTTTATTATAATTAAATGCTCACATTTATTTATATAGACCCGAATTACCAATAGTAAAGTCACTCTGATTATAATAAAATGCATTAGATTTATAGAAGGAAAAAAAAACACACTTGCATGTAATATTTAACAAATCTTTTGTCAAGTTCTTCCAGTTCTCTAGAGCCTGCGTTGGGGTAAATCCTATTTTGGTCTCTAGCAAATAGTTTGAACACTTTTGAAACTCTCACTAGACCCTTGTGTTGTTACAGTATGATGAAATGGAAAGCAAAACAGGCGTCATTTTCCTTAATCGAGCCCTTCTGAAGCTTTCCTGTTTTATTCCGTCCCGCTGCCCACTTTAGTTGCTCAGCCTCAGGGCACTAGCAAGGGTGCCAAGAAACCGAGGGCCAATCTAATACTGTAATTACTAAAACACACACATATGAGGATCTTTAAAAAATCTCAGAATTTCACAGATTCTCTCAAACTCTACACATAACCATTTATTTGAAGTTGCTTAGTATCATTGAGTGCCTTGCACAAGCACAAGCAGTAGCCTATTTGTGCAAACAACACACCTACCCAACCTAAATTTACACGAGTTGACTCTCTCACAATTTTGTGTATTATACACACACACAACCACACAATGCACATTTGACAGAGCTCTTGTGCAGCATGCTTTCAGATCTCATCCACTCCCACATTAAACACAGACACGAAACAAAACTTAAGTCGAATGATATGTCTCTCACCTTCCCAGCCCCGCAGCTGTGACGGTGGTCTCTCTCTCTCTCTCTCCTCTGGTGGAGTCGGTGTGTGTGCGCGCGAGTCGGTGTGTCTGCCAGGCGTCTGCTCCGCTCCTCTCCACCACAGTGGAGCACAGCACCGTCCTTGTTCAACCTCCTGCTCACACTACATCTTTATTCCAGCCACACTTAATTCAGGAGATCCCTTATCCAAAAATACAGCACCATCACCCTCCTTTCTTTTCGTCTCTCTCCCTCACTCTCCTCCCGGAGAGTCCCGAGGCATGAAGACCTCTGATATCAGCTGTGAACTAACTTCTCACCTGGAGCGAGGTGGACCTCATGCCTCTGTTTCAGTGCTCTACTGCAGTGGCAACGTTCTGCAGTGCAGCCGAAAATCCTTCAAGGTCCCTTCTCTGTGCTTCCCCCCCCCCCTGCTCTGCACTGCAGCCAGCCTTCAACAAGACTCCGGACTGTTTGAGCAGGCACACTCTTCTCTTGGCTACACACACACCCTCTCAATGCATCCTTTATTGGGTTATTTATTTATCCATCACCCCTCCCTGCACCCCTCCTGCTGGCAGCCTGCAGGTCCAACACCGGCTGATGAAGAGATCTGCGAGAGGAGGAAGAGAAAGATAGACTGCAGCAGACTCGGACATAATCAATATTCACGGCATCCCCAAACATTCCTATCTCAGTTGTGTCTTCTTCCGAACACCCAATGAAAACTTGCTCTGTTTTCGGGAAAACCTCTCTGAAAGTCACCAGCCAGGTAAAACACGCTCAAGCCCTTTCTCTTTCCGAGTCTGCTGCATGGCAGGAAAAGTAATTAGCGTAATGGCTCTTTCATGGCTGGATAGCAGTCGTGAGGAGGTTATTATGGGGTTTGCGTGGAAGGAAGGTAAAAGTGTGACTTTCCACTTGATAACTCCATCGTGGCGTCACTGATTCACCCCTTTGCTGTGGGAACGTCCTTGGATCTTAACCAGAGAAGCAATTATCAGAGACACCTCAAGAGACTTGGGAGGTTCCTTTGCAGAAACACTGAGACAAAGTTTATGACTTCCAACTGGGCAGCAGGCCACCACACGGCTGTTGTTTTAGCCTGAAAATGGGTTAAAATACATGTGCAATGAACAACATTATGATTCGTCAAAACATGGATATCAAAATCCATTCACAGGATTGAATTCAAAGACAAATGCTATTTTGATTTTAAAATTTGATTTTAACCTCTGAGTCCAGACCTTAAATTTATTGAAAGTCTTATTATCACATTATCACAAAATAATGTTTTTTCACTTTTGTGATTGAACTGATTTTTAAATGTGAATCACCATTGAGATTTTGATGCAAGGATACAAAATAATACACACTAAAATGTTAAAAAGTTGTTTGTGCAAAACAGTAAAAAAAAAAAAAAAAACAGCACAAACAATCTCTAATTCTTTGTCTTCTTCTTTGTTTTTCAAATGTTTTAAAAATTTTATTTATCATTGTTTCTCTTTTTTCTCAAAGATTCTAAGCACAGTAAATGTATTGTTGACATGTACATGTGGTCATTATGAAATTTAAATAGTTCATATTTACTTATTTTCTAAATGAACATTCTTATTGTGAATATGTCATCTGTGAATGTTATTCCAAAGTAAAACCTTTGTAATTTTAATCAAAGGCCCGGTTTCACAGACAGGGGTTAGATTAAGACAGGATTAGGTTATAGTTAAATTACGACATTCTAGTAGCTTTTGTAAACATGCCTTAGAATAAAACATTACTGGTTTGCATTTTGTGACAGAATAATGGCACCGACATATTTTAAGATGTCAGTGCAAGTTGCTTTCAGTTCAAACGGCTCAAACATGCGTTTTAGTCTGGGACTAGTCTTAAGCCTTGTCTGTTAATCCACAGGAAAGGGTATTTGGGTACAATTTAGATATTGCTTTTGCAAACTGGCTCCATTAAATGCCCACAATTCATGTACTACATGTTTCCTGCACTTCTCAGAAATACTTAAAAGGGCCATTCACCCAAAAATGAAAATTGTGTCAACATTTTCTCACCCCACCCAAATCTGTGTGACTTACTTTGCATGTGAAACACAACAGAAGATATTTTGAAGAATGTTGGTAACCAAACAGTTTTGGTGACCATTGACTTCCATTGTATGTTTAAAAACACAGAGACATTTCTCAAATACCTTCTTTTACATTCCACAGAGCACAGAAAGTCATACAAGCTTGAAACAATACAAGGATGAGTAAATTATGACAAATCTTTCATTTTTGGCTGAACTATAACATTAAAGAAGTACAATCCACTGCAAACTGCAATTCATATTGACTTTAACAAACTATAAACCCACATTAAAGATTTTTGTTATACAATGTGAACTATTTTGAGCTTAATAATATTTGGGTAACACCTATTACCTTACAGCACATGAGGCAGACAGGAACTTGTGGCACTGCAACCTAACCCAGATGTTCAGACACATGCTTACATTTATATTACCTATAAAACAGTCCAAGCAAGGGGAAAGAGAAACTGTTAACGACAGCATAATATAAACACATTAGACCAGCTTCGGAAAAATAAGCACTCTTTATTTTATTTTAGAGACACATCATGACCAAGACATCTATTTATGAGTTAGCATAAATGCTAACATTTGTATGTATATCAGTTCTGCTTCAGGGCAGTTCCAAGAGGTCAGGATGCTATACAGACGGTGAACATGAATGGATAGTTTTAGTATTGTGCAGTGGGAGGAATTTTAATAGAATGACTAACTGCCCTGTCGTATCGTACAAAGATGTCACGACCTAGCCGTCTTTATATGTACAACAAACAATCGATAAAAAGCAAACAGGCATTTTTTCAGAAGGGCTCTTTACAAAGATAAATCTTTGGCTTTTGTTGCCCTCTAATCTCAGTGTAACAGATAACAAAAGGCATAATGCTAGTATATCAATGGCAAGACAGGTTTTTTGTAGGGCTGTCAAACAATTAATCGCGATTAATCGCATCTAAAATGAAAGTTTGTGTTTACAAAATATATGTGGGTTCACTGAGTATAATTATTTTTATATATATATAAATAAGAAATATTTTCATGTATATACTGTATTTAGGATTATATATAATTTATATTACGTAAATATAAATATTTGTGATAAAAATCACAATGCACCCACATATATTATGTAAACACAAACTTTTATATGGGATGCGATTAATCGCGATTAATCGTTTGACGACCCTAGTTTTTTGGTTTGAGAATGGAAATGTGGGTGTGAAAAAC